ATATATACCAATCTATTAAATTTACAATACTAATAGATTTATATTATGGTATATTTATATTATGGTTTATTCTTATTTGTAAGAAGTTGAATCAATAATCAAAAAAATCACGAATAATTCAAAATTCTACTCAATAAATTTTATATAATTCAAATAAAATCAAATCAAAAAATAATTAAATCATTTAAATTGTATAAAAAATAGAATAGCTTGACAAAGAGATTTTAAAATTAATATTCAAAATTCAATCTTTGCTTGGGGCCAATGTACTACTACTTGTGACAAGATGGAGTGATTACTGTGCGCAAGATTTGGCCTTCTCTTAAGGCCTTACCACTATTGTCATCAATGCAGACTAAGTACTCAGTTGAGACGGACACTGGTACCTTTTGTTCGGAGTTGGTCATGTATGATCATCACTCATGATGCGCAACAGCGCACAATTACGAACAACAGAAAATGGCCCTCAATCATGGTGCGCAGCAGCGCACAGTTGCTAGTGCGCAACCACGCTCAGATGCGAATAGCAAAACGATTCTCAATCACGGTGCGCAACTGCGCACAGATGCAAATAGCAAAATGGTTCTCAACCACGGTGCGCAACAATGCACAGTTGCAAATAGCACAATGCTCAGAAATGGCCTTGACGAATAGCACAGTGCTCAGTAATAGTCCTGACGAATTGCAAAATGCTCAGAAATGGCCCTGATGAATAGCACAGTGTCGGTCCGGTCCCAACCGGTCAATCTTGATTATCTCGCTAGCCCTTGGTCTGTTTCAAGTGCCGCTTGGACCAGACCCCACTAATTGACCCATTGCGGTCGCGTCGGTCCAGTTCAAGGAGGAAGATCAGGTCTCCAGGGGACCGTACCGTCGCGCCGTCTTTCCTTCGGTTTCGGCCCAGGGGAAATCTAATCGATGCGTTAGGGCCCAGCTTGACCATGACTGCTGATGCAATTTTGACGCAGCGCGGGAGTTGACCGCGGCGAGTCAATTTCCGCTGTTGCGCCGCATCATCTTCCGACAACGTGGGGTCGTGTGGTGAAGCAGGGCGCTGCTGAGGGCAGCGCATGAGCAGCCTTCATAGCGGGCTGGGCTTGGATAAGTCAGTGAGGCGCGGGGGTGGTCTTCGGGTGTAAGAGAGGACAGATGTGGGTGTAAAGTGAGGGAAGGGCGAAGGATGATGATGATGATGATGATGTGAAGGCACATACCTTGTATTGGTGATGGTCTGCGTTTGGGCGGCATCTTCAAGTACTTCGGGTTGCCGCTGACGTCAACAGTTGCATTGTCATTTAGTAGGCTGATCGTAGCTGTGTAGTAGGCTGGGCGCTGAGCGCCGAGTAGGTGAAGGGACTGGACTCTTGTGTTATGGCGGAGAGAGAAAGCTCTCCTTGACATTGGTTTTTAGTACTACGAACCTCCATTGGTGTTATATTGGTGCAATGCTGCTCTCTGGACAAGGTGTGACTATCTGGCTTTCAATGTGATGGTGTAATCTGGAATTTGTAATCTCGCTCTTGCTTATTTTCCTTGCAAATGTATGAAATAAGGAAAACAACGCAAAAAAAGATTTAAAAAAATTTCGGAATGATAAGCGATGAATAATTCAGAATTTCCGAAACAAGTAATCTGGAAATCGGTGAATAAATGCGAAATGTGAGGGCCTAGACCTCGATGAGCCCTATCGGGGCCCTGTTTCCAGCACACCTGGCCGCCCTAATTGAAGGCGGGTAGATTCAGCTACGAGAGGTCCTATTTTTGCCTTTGTCGAAACTGGGGGAAATTCAGGCAGTTACGCAGCGTCAGTTGGTTGGGCGAGCCCAGGCCCTGCCTCCCCTTTATCCAAATGAATCGGAGGCAGGCCCTGGGCCAGACAAGGGGCAGGACCTGAGCACTGGCCGCTGGGCAGTTGGACACGGGTGATGACCCCAGGCCCTACGGGAGATCCCCTGGGACAGGGCCTCAGCCACTTGGGGCGTACCGGAAGCTTCCAGGTGGAGGCCCATGCTAGCAGGCAGTCCATGAGTGGCAGCCACTTTCCATAAAGGAAATGGCCTCGCTGTTGGCTGGACATTGGGCACTCGCTGCCTATGGGCAAGCGCAAATGCCAACTGCTGAAGCGTGCCTACGCGCTCACGGGCGAGCAGGGAAGAAGCTCATGGGCGAGCAGGGAAGAACCAGGCAGCCATAGCCGAGCTGGCCTGCCCGTTGCATGATGGGGCGCATGGTGGTCTTCAGGTGCATGTGGCATCTGTGTGGAGGATCGAGGTTGTGAGTGAAGCGAGGGACATACCTGGTGCTTGATGTGAAAGGCATTGGGCGAGATCTGCTCGTACTTCGGGAAGCTGTTGACGTCACCAGCCACGTTGTAGATAGGCTTGATAGGATCTTCCATTTGTAGTCTGGGCGTTGAGCGCCAGATAGGGAATCGACATCGGTTCATTGATGATGATGACAAGCCTATTCCAACATTGTCATTTGTGAGCTTTGCCATGCTCTTATTTGGTGTAACTCGAGTTGCAATTCAACTTTAGGTTTGAGGTCAAGGCTATCTGGTTTCATGTGTATGATGCGGCTTGGTTTCTGAATTTCGCCATCGCTCATTTTCCTTGCATTTGGGTATCGGAGCTGTGGTGTGCTGCGCTCATTTGGCACTTGTCTTCTGCTTATGAGGTGCATGCACGCGGTTAGCTGGGTGAGCGACCGTGGGTAGCGTGCAGTGAGGAGGGTGAAGGCAAGCAGGCGACCCAGGAGGAGAGGGGTATCGCCAAGAAGGCTGTGTGGTGATATTGGGTGTTTTGCAATGTGATGAGACTGATGTGCGATTGATGCTGAGGTGGAACGGCGGTATAATGCTGGTTGTGCCAAGACAATGATTGGTCCTCGCAATCGACGTCCGGTCAGCTAGTGAGAATATCTGTGGTTGGGGGCAGCTATCTTGAGGTACGTTGCTCTTAACCTTATGTACCCTCTTCGACACTTCTTACCGTGAGGATGTTGTCAGTCTTGAGAGTCCTCTCATGTGAGGAGTCGAGTGCGCTCAGCCTTGAGCATCTGGAAGGAGAGGACATTGCCATCTGAAGGGCCGTGGTCGAAGCACTGGGTCACGGTCACCATGCCAACCCACCGGGAATAGAGCACGCATGCTTTGCTGCTTTGTCCTTTGTCACGAGGGGCAGGCCAGCCCTATAGCGGAGACGAGAACCGGTCGTCTTTAAATAAGTAACGGCGGGTTACCTTCCATTGGCTGTGATCTTTGTCCTGTTTGCGACGTTAAATAATTCCTGAGGATCTTGGGGGCCATCCTTAAGCTGCCTCTTTATCAACCAATTGGTCGGTGTAAAGCTTGCTGCACGCGAGGGTAAATATGGTGCAGGGCTAGCCAGCTCAGCATTGACTCGGGGCACAGGCCATGCACACCTTTAGATACCAGCGCCATCCGGATTGCTCAAGAACGCTGATGTCAAGTGACATCAAGAAGAACTGATTTCAGGTGATAAGTTCAGGAACAATTCCACTTTGCAAACAGCCACACAAATGGTGCTACTTCTATTTTGATTAGTTAGATGTTACTGTCATTAACACATCTGACGGACAACATAGGTAGAAGTATCCGTTTTTTCGTATTTGCTCTCTGTGTAATGAACCCAGTCTGATAGGTACTCAGAAGTCGTGAAACATCAGTAGTCTGAATATCTGCAACAAAGTCTCCAACTCCAAATCGTGAAGTGATATCTCAAACAGTATCTCATTACTATTAGAAGAAGAGAGTGGAGGGGGATCAGACAGAGGAGAAGATGGAAGAGTGATCAAACATCACTCTGTAGTAATCCCTTCAAACCCGTCTCCTTCTCCGGGCTTCTTCCCTCTCCACGTCGACAACGAGTAAGTATAGTAATACTGATTACATACGATAGTGCCACTTGGCACTTTATCTCGTGAAGATCATGAATACAAAGCATATTCCAGTGACGACGTCAACCTCAGGTGAGTACCCGTTCTCCTTCATCCACAGATCCCGATCTTCCTCCTCCTCGCCTCATGTAGACAGCGTGGACAATGCCAGGTCAGGAGCCGAGACAGGTGGCATACACCACATCATCAATGGAGATGAGTGGCACGCGCCACATCAGCAATGTGGACTAGTGTTAGCGCCACATCAACATGCAATGTAGACCAGAGGTAGCACCACATCAGCATGCAATGTAGACCAGAGGTAGTGCCATATCAGCATGCAATCCAGACCAGAGGTAGCGCCACATCAGGATGCAATGTAGGCCAGAGGTAGCGCCACATCAGCATGCAATGTAGACGAGAGGTAGCGCCACATCAGCATGCAATGTAGACGAGAGGTAGCGCCACATCAGCATGCAATGTAGACCAGAGGTAGCGCCACATCAGCATGCAATGTAGACGAGAGGTAGCGCCACATCAGCATGCAATGTAGACCAGAGGTAGCGGCACATCAGCATGCAATGTAGACCAGAGGCAACGCCACATCAGCATTCCTGGCACACAGAACAAGAAGCGCCAGCCTGCTGCCTCCACCTCGTGCCGTCTTTCGCAACGCATATGGACAGCCAGCGTCCTAGCCAGCATCTCCTCAAAGTCGAGCCAGCGTCAAAGCAGCATGGCAAGACTGAATGTTGACCACCTCGAGGCCAGTCTTTAAGTAGCATTGACGAGGCTCTCTGGCCTTGGGTCTCCTCCCCTCAGTCGTCTAGATTGATTCACAGCCGAAGGTCTGGATTGTACAGTTGCAGGCTTTCCCCTTGGACCTGATGCTGTCTAGGGACCTGCATACAAACAAATGTGTGTGTCCGACCGGCGGCCTGGGCTGGGTACATTTTGACTTTGACTGTTGGGGTTTTCGACAGTTGACTTTTGTCAACTGTACCTCGTCCAGGCCCTGAATCTTTTGTTGGGGTCTTTTCCCACGTTTTGCCCTGGGCCTGGATGTGGCCTGGCGAGGCCCTCAATTTCCACGAGGCTTACTACATGGGTTATTGCATTTGTTTGCGGACTAGTCAAATGAAATAGTTTCGTTTGTAGGAATGTGGACTTACCTGAGGGACCCAACTGTGTATCAACTGATATTGCCACCGATTAATTATTTTTATTCTGCGTAGCACACCGAACGTGTTCGAAAGTTTTTCAAACGTCCGAACACGTTCGGCCCTTCGCCCGAACGGGAAGCGAACGCATTCACACTAACGACTTTTGGAGGCTTGCGAACGCGTTCGCCCAGCGGGCGTTACCGGCCCTTCGAGGGTCTGGGGGTCCTTGGGGCTGTAGGGGGGATGTTTGGGGGGCGGGGTTGGGCGGGCGGCCTGGTGGGAAGGGGCAGCCAGGTGCCCAGTTCGAATTCGAACAAAAAATCAGGCTGCCCCACCGCTCATCCCCGCGCAGCGTTCTCCAGCGGAGCCTCGAACCCCCGGGTAGGTGTGCCTCCTCCTCCTCATCGTCCTCCTCCACCTTGTCCTCCTCCTCCTCCCCCTCCGCCATATCTTCTTCTTCTTCTTCTTCTTCTTCTTCTTCTTCTTCTTCTTTGTCTTCTTCTCCGTCGTCGTCTTCTTCTTCGTCGTCGTCATCTTCTTCTTTGTCGTCGTCTTCTTGTTTGGGGGGCGGGGTTGGGCGGGTGGCCTGGTGGGAAGGGGCAGCTGGGTCCTCCGATCGAATTCGAACAAAAAATCAGGCTGCCCCACCGCTCGTCCCCGCGCAGCGTTCTCCAGCGGAGCATCGAACCCGCGGGTAGGTGTGCCTCCTCCTCCTCCTCGTCGTCCTCCTCCTCCCCCTCCACCATATTTTCTTCTTCTTCTTCTTCCTTTTCTTTTTTCGGTTTTTCAACTTTTTTTCTCTTTCTCTTCTTACTTTTCTAAGTTTCTTCAACTTTCTTCTTCTTCTTCTTCTTCTTCTTCTTCTTCTTCTTCGTCTTCGTCATCGTCGTCTTCTTCTTCGTCGGCATCTTCTTCTTTGTCGTCTTCTTGTTTGTCGTAGTCTTCTTCGTCGTCTTCTTCTTCGTCTTTATCGTCGTCTTCTTCGTCTTCGTCTTCGTCGTCGTCTTCTTCTTCTTCTTCGTCGTCGTCTTCTTTGTCTTCTTCTTCTTCTTCTTCTTCTTCTTCTTCTTCTTCTTCTTCTTCTTCTTCTTCTTCGTCTTCGTCGTCTTCGCCCTCTCCTCCTCCTCCTCCCCCTCCCCCTCCTCCTCCTCCTCCTCCTCTACCTCTTCTTCTTCTTTTTCTTTTTCTTTTTCTTCTTTTTCTTCTTCTTCTTTGATGTCGTCGCCCAACCCTCCTCCTCCTCCTCCTCCCTATCCGGATCCCGACTTCCCGCGTCGTCGCCCTCCCCTCCTCTTCTTCTTCTTCTTCTTCTTCTTTGACGTTCTTCTTCTTCTTCTTCTTCTTCTTCTTCTTCTTCTTTGACGTTGTCCGCGTCGGCCAACCTTCCTCCTCCTCCTCCTCCTCCTCCCTTTCTGGATCCCGACTTCCCCCGTCGTCGCCCTCCCCTCCTCCTCCTCCTCTTCTTCTTCTTCTTCTTTGATGTCGTCGTCGTTGTTGCCCAACCCTCCTCCTCCTCCTCCTCCTCCTCCTCATCCTCATCCCTATCCGGATCCCGACCTTCCCTCGTCGTCGCCCTCCCCTCCTCCTCCTCCTCCGCTACCCTCCTCCTCCTCAATCAATCAATCAATCAATCAATCAATCAATCGATTCAATCAATGAATCGATTCGATTTGTTGATTGAATAGAATCTTGATCTTGATTCGAGTCTTTGATCGCGATTCGTTGATTGAATCGAATCAAGATCGAAATTCTATTCAATCAACGAATTGAATCGATTCATTGATTGAATCGATCGATTGATTGATTGATTGATTGAGAAAAAAAAAAAAACAGAAAAAAAAAGCCAAACAGCCCTCTTCTACGGCCTCGCCACCCTCGTCGTCCTCCTTATCTTCTTCTTCTTCTTTGATGTCGTCGTCGTCCTCGCCCAACCCTCCTCCTCCTCCTCCTCCTCCTCCTCCTCCTCCTCCTTGTCCTCCTCCTCCGTATCCGGATCCCGACTTCCCCCATCGTCGCCCTCCCCTCCTCCTCCTCCTCCTCCTCCGCTACCCTCCTCCTCCTCAATCAATCCATCCATCCATCCATAATTCAATCAATCAATCAATCAATCAATCAATCGATTCAATCAATCAAGTGATTCAATCAATCAAGTGATTCAATCAATCAATCGATTTGATTGGTTGATTGAATCGAGTGTTGATGTTGATTCTATTCAACATCAAGACTCGATTCAATCAATGAATCAAATCGATTGATTGATTGATTGATTGAATCGAATCAATATCAAGACTCGATTCAATCAACGAATCGAACCGATTCATTGATTGAATCAATTGATTGATTCATTGATTGATTGATTGATTGATTGATTGACGAAGCGAATCAACATCAAGACTCAATTCAATCAACGAACAGAATCGATTGATTGATTGATTGATTGATTGATTGATTGATTGAAAAGAAAGAAAAAAAACAGAGAAAAAAAAGCCAAACACCCCTCTGCTACGGTCTCGCCACCCTCGAAGTCGTCCTCAACTTCTTATTCTTCTTCTTTGACGTCGTGGTCGTCGTCATTGTCACCCAACCGTCCTCCTCCTCCTCCTCCTGTTGTGTGTGTGTGTGTGTGTGTGTGTGTGTGTGTGTGTGTGTGTGCATCTGTCTGTCTTTCTGTCTGTTGGTCTGTCTATCTGTCTGTCCGTCCACCTGGCTGTCTGTCTGTCTCTCCGTGTATGCGTGTCTGTCTGTGTCTGTTTGGCTGTCTGTCTGTCTCTCTGTCTGTTTGTCTGTCTGTCTGTCTGTCTGTCTGTCTGTCTGTCTGTCTGTCAGTCTGTCTGTCTGTCGGTCGGTCGGTCTGTCTGTCTATCTGTCCGTCTGTCTGTCCCCTCCTCCTCCTCGCCCAGATCAGCAGTTCCCACGTCAGCAGCTGGCACATCAACACCTGCCACGTCAGCAGGTGCCACGTCAGCAGATGGCACATCAACAGCTGCCATGTCAGCAGCTGTCGTCGTCAGCTGGCACATCAGCAGCTTCCACATCAGCAGCTGTCTGTCTTGTCTGTTTGGCTGTCTGTCTCTTTGTCTGTTTGCGTGTTTGTCTATCTGTCCGTCTGTCCATCTGTCTGTCTGTCTGTCTGTCTGTCTGTCTGTTTATCTGTCTGTCTGTCTGTCTGTCTTTCTTTCTCTCTGTCTGCCTGTCTGTCTGTCTTTCTCTCTATCTGCCTGTCC